GATTACAAATTGTGATCTATAGAGTGTCCACAAAGAAATTGTGGAAGGACGGACAGGGGCATCGACAATATACATCCACATAAAAATGTGAGCATATAAAAAAGGTTGCAGAAACTGTCCTAAAGAGTTTTTTTTAAAAGAAACTGTTTAGAAACCGAAGTTCTGTAATTGTTACTTACATGTGACATTAAGAGCTGTTGTTGCTGTATTTGTTTGAGTATTTGCACCTTCACAAGTGAAAGTTCCTTCGTCTGACTCCTGGATATTTTTAACTCGTAAAACGCGTCGTAAAGTATCGATAAATTCATATTTATCAGAGTTACTTGTAATTGCTTGTAACTCATTGTTTTTCCACGATATAGATGGTATCGGCCTGGAAAACATTTTTCGAGACTTCTGATTAAATCATCTACAAATCTTTTCAAAAACATAAATTTTCAGGGTCCAAAACATTAATATTGTTTAAGTCATGTGTTTAGATCATGAGAACATGAAAAGGGGCTATGAAAAATAGCAGAGGTCACCACACCTACCATAAAAATATCATGGAATTTAACAAAAACAATAAATATCGTCAAATAATGAAAATTAACAGGGGCCATAATGTGACATCAAATCATCAAAGCTAACAGGGGCCATTTAACATGTCAAAGATAACAAGAAATGAAACGAAACGAAACAGGATTTAACGTCCTTCTGTTCTGCTATGACTAGGCTAATCAAAACAGGCAAATGCCATACAGTGTGCTATGACGGAAATTTTGCCCTGTGTTACGGCATACTCTTATATTGAATTACAACTGGAAATCTTTTATGTGCACTCCCATGTGTACACGGGACCTCAGTTTTTCATCCCACTAGAACGACTAGACAGATGTCCTTGTCAGGCCCTCCACCCTGCACCAATGACAAGTGAATACCATGCCAGAAAATTTTCATAAATTTCCTCGGCGACCTTTAGGTTTGTGAGCAAGCGTCTTACCCACTTAGCCAACGTGGCTCCCCAAAGATAACACAGGTCATAAAGTGACATCAAATCATCAAAGATAACAGGGGCCAATAACATGACATCACAATGTGATATCAAATCATCCAAGATAGCATGGGCCATAATGTGACATCAAATCAAAGATAACAGGAGCCAAAATATGACCTTAGATCATGAAAAATAGCATGGACCATAATGTGACATCAAATCATGAAGAATAACTTTGTACTTACTTGCCACCAAAGATACATTGTATGTCAACATAATGTCCAATAAGAGCTTTCTGATTTGGTTTGCTATATAACACACTGGGTGCTCTATCTGGAATTGCTGGAACACAGAATACAAATAAAAACCTTTAAAAGATTTGTTTCTTCAAGCAAAATTAGGTCATCTGTTTTGTAGATAATAACAAAGTTTCTCTTAACATATCCTTTGGCAACCTACCTAGATTATGAAATTGGGGTGTAACAGTTATATATTTAAATGCTTGTTTTTTTTAAAATTGAATACAAATTGTGACTTCTAGAGGGACCACAATCTAAAAACATGATACAGTCAGATACGTGCGAATATCAAAAAGGAACCAAGATCTTTGGGTTATAAACATACATTTCAAGTTTGTTCAAAATCGGATAAAAATTGTGACCTGTAGAGTGTCCATAAAGAAATTGTTGACGGATGAACAGACAGGGGCGATGACAATACACGTATATATACGTCCACATGGAAGTGTGGATGTATAAAAAGGAACCATTTTCCCTGCATAATTATCTTATTGGTGTGAAAAGTGTAGTTTAAACACTTACGAATTAGTTTCGTAATCTCTAAAATCTTCCCACTGCCTAAATTAATGGAATTAATATGACGATTAAAAATGGCACATTGATATTTTAATCCACTTAAATCATCAGCTTTTGTTACGTAGACGAAATGAAGAGTTCCTGAAAATATATAATAAGATAATAAATTGCATGAAATGGTCACTATTATAATAGTCAGGTTGTTAATGATTGGGATAAATGAGACTAAACATGCCAGCATTACCTACACATGTTAACTCCTTTCTAGCTTATATGTAAATACAGAAATCTTCGAGTTTGTGATGTGGTCACAACAAACAGATGTTTTGTCCTGTAAATTTGGGAACAGGCCAGGCTGATGTCCCCCGCCAAAATCCCAAAATGAATAGAACACACATATTGATTAATTGCAAATTTATTTTTTTCAAAAGTTCTGAGCAATCAAACTGATTATCTATACTAAGTCTAAGCATAAAATATTCATAATCAAACTCAGTCAAGGTTTTGAAGTCAGAATCAAAGTTATCTTATCCCAAAGCATCAACCAATGAAATTGCTTAGCTCTGCTTAGCTTTAGTGGGAAATGTTAATCATTGAACTTAGTCAAGACATTCGCCTAATGAACATCTACATCAAGTTTAAACATTCTACCTCAATTAAAAGCAGAGTTGTTATGTTCCAAAGTCTCGACCAATCAAATTGCTTATCGCTTCTTAGCCTAAGCAGAAAGTGCTCATTATTGAACTTAGTCAAGGTATTGATATAATAAAACTATACACCAAGTTTCATCAATCAAATTGCTTATCACTCTGCTTACCCTGAGCAGAAAATGCTCATTATCGAACTTAGTCAAGGTATTGATGTAATAAAATTATACACCAAGTTTCATCACCATCATTAAAGTTATCGTGTCCCAAAGCATCAACCAATCAAATTGCTTATCTCTGCTTACCCTAAGCCGAAAATGTTCACCTTCGAACTCCATCAAGGTATTCACCTAATAAAGACCTACACCAAGTTTGAACATTCTACCTCAATTAGGAGAGTTATTGTGTCTCAAAAAGTGTGACGGAGGACAGATGGACAGACCATTATAAAAGTCCCATAAATATAGAGAGCCAGTTGTTGTTTTTGTGGATGCATTCTGATAGTTCTGCATTTTATAAATTTATTATCAAAGCAAACGGCTAAAAATATCATTTGTTTTAAACATTTGAATCCAAAATGGGGCCTACATGAACAGAAATAACAACTTAAAATTGGATAAAGTTAGTAGTTCATCAGACAGTTGTATGGATTGGTTGTATCGTGTAAACGCCACTATGAACAGTTTCATAATAATCTTCGATATATCGTCTGTCTAAATCCAATCAAAATGTCCAGGCTTTTCCACAAAAGCTACATGATAATAACAGCTTGATTAGTGGACTAAGGTATGGCCTAGATAGGTATGTTAGTGAAAATAAAGGGTCACCGTCAATCAGTGGGGCTTAAAATCCACTTTCACCTACATGTAGAGTCACAGTCTGCTGACAATCCATATAGTGTATACAACATTATTTGAAGTCATATGATGTTTCAATAAACCACAGTCCACAACATTAGTGTTATAGGGAAACTAACTGGGGAGCTTGTCTGTCAACCTGAACATTCCAAACTAATGGAATTACAATCACGGTTACAAATATTTTAGCTATGATACATGTATTAGCATAAACAAGTGGATTATAACACTGTTATCAAGGTGCTTGACGATTTTAGCGACATTTGTGATAAGGATCCGAGTATAAGACAGGCGTAGTCAAATCAGTGTTACATGTAGCCGTAGTGTTGTCAATAATAATCTTGCTATGTAGTTCCACTTAACATCCTATATTAACATGTATACGTACCCTCTGCATCTATAGCTATTCTGTCATCCTGTACAACTTCTCTACTTTCTTTGTCACCGTTATACCATTTAAACTCCCCAGGCGGATTACATAAAGGTACATTGTCACACGTCAGCTGAACTGCTTCCCCTTCTGTTGCCTGTATCCTTGGAGGAGGCAGACCTGTGTCCACCCAACTGTTTAGATCTGTAATAGAAGCATAAAATACAGAAACTATTCAAGTTTCAACTTCTCTCTCCTTCAATTAGAATAAAAGTTATTGTGTACAAAGCATTGACAAACAAACTTCTTATCTCTGCTTAGCCTCTGTGGAAAAAACCTCTTAATCCTCAAACTCAGCCAAGACTGTCACCTAATAATCATCTACACCAGCAAAATTATTGGGGACAATAATGAGTGTTTACCGGGATTCAGTGAAGGGAATTAACTCTATAAAAAGTGTTTATAAGAAGAATGTCTGAATAAAAACCACTTATGCAATATAATCACCAAATATTTGTCAACTAGGTTAATTAGAATTGGTATCAGGTGTTTTATAGTTATACAGTGGACTCTGTCAAATCTGACATTGTACGGGATCGTTACAATACATGTATGTCGGATTACGTAGAGTGTCGGAATACTAAGTTTTCTTAAAACTGGAAGTATTATTATAACTTCGAAAACCGAAAATATTGTTATAATGTAGCTCCGACTCCCCAGAACGTTATTCCCGTCTATGTAGGTCGTGGAACTTTCTCGAAATCTGCTGTAAGTTGCTGCTGGCATCTAATGTCAAGTCCGTTTGGGCATGCTTTGCAGGACGATCCCACATTTTGAACATAATATTGTATAATAATTCTTCTTCATCGCAGCAATTTTTATATTATGTCACCGTATTTGACATGAGAAACTAAAATCGAATACCAAGGGCTCTCTTACAAGAGATTATAAAATTATCAAAGTTTTAATCTCATCGATAATTGATTGGTGATTGCTTGTTAATCTTTTGTGGCTTCACACCCACCGATTGAATGCCGGATTATACAATGCTGATTCCATGGAAATCGTGTGACGGGCTGATTGATGTCGTAATTCGGAATATTCAGAATAAGGATTACTCAAAGTGTTTTTGGCTGAAGTAATAAGGAAATAAATCGGGACATTAAAATAGGATTTCACAGAATGTCTATTAAATATTCAGATGTCGGATGTGACAGAGTCCAATGTACTCTGGTTCATGCACAATACATGTCAGTACATGTTTAGTTGGTTTACGATAACCTTGGGGAGACATGCCACAATTAGTTTATTTTGACTAGATATAGATGTACTTACATGCCAAGTCGACTGTTATGACGGGTGACATGGATTTTATTGTTTTAGTTCCAATTTGATTAGAAGCGAAACATTGGTATTTTCCTATCTCTCTGCGAGATAAAGAGGCTATCTGCAGTTCACCAGTAATTGGATCTTGTTTTATATAGTCACTGACTATAGTCTGATCGTCTTTCATCCATTCATATCTATAAATAAAAATAAAATCTTTCATTTGTCTAGGGTTAAACAATGTTGCTGAAACGTCTGAATTAAGTACATGTACATGTATGAGTCACCCGAGCAATCAAATTAATCAAGGATGAAAATTCAAGACAGTAATTACATGTATCAGAAATTGTTAAAAATCAGCAGGCTTCTTTATCTCATGAACATCAAAGTTAGGGCCATAACTCAAAACTAATTACAACGTATTTTAAATCATTGTCAATCAATAGGCTTCTTCGTCTCATGCATATAACTATATATATATATATATTTCAATTGGGTAATATATGTACCTTTAGTATTTTGAGCATCGACAATATTTTTCAAATTGATAAATTGTTACAATTCAATAGGATTTTTCATTTCATTAACATAAACACTGTATACAGTTCAAGTTAATTGGATGGTAACGTAAGCATCCACAACCAATAGTGTACAGGAATGACAGAAATATACTGAGCGCCATGGAAAACGCATCACTTTTTTTTCCCAAATATTTTATTACTAGGTGGTTTTGTATGTATAATATTATGCAATATTATGAACTATTGTTTCACACAATGCTCCCAAATGCAAAAAATATCGGCCCCTGTGCACAAAAAAAAGTGCACGAGATGCACATGAAAAACCCAATATTCACGTGCAGCATTGTGTGTGAGCCCTTTAAAAGCATGTTTTCAAATTAATGTGCAGTACATGAACTGTGAAACGTCAATCTGTCGTAATTTGTTGTTGGACGTGTGAAGGAATAGAGCTAGAGAAAATCAAAGGAATGAAGCCATTGGAAAGTCCCGGGCTGGCATGTCTTCACATGCTATTGCCAGACACTTCAATTGTCATCAGTCCACTATTGTAAGGTTGGTGGAACGTGTTTGAGTTACTGGATCAACACATGACCGTCAACGTCCTGGTCCACAATGCGTTACAACCCAGGCTCAAGACCGCTACATCCGGGTCACTCATCTGCTTGACAGGTTCCGCCCAGTGACTCGAACAGGTGCAGCAGTCGTCAGAAGACAAGGACCAGTTTGTGCCAACCCCGTAAGACGTCGTGTAAGAGAAGTAGGACTCCGTGCACGATAACCTTATGTTGGAGCTATCCTCAGGGGTCATCACCGTCAGCGTCGTTTGATATGGGCTCAAGGACACCAAACATGGAGAAGAGTAGACTGGCAAAGTGTGCTCTTCAGTGATGAGAGTCGCTTTCATCTTTATCACGCTGATGGCCGTCAACGTGTGTGGAGACGTTTTGGGGAACGTCTTGAAGACTGCTGCGTCTTCGAAACGAATCGATGGGGAAGTGTAATGGTGTGGGGAGGTTTCACATTTCATCACTGGACTGCCCTACGCATTTGCAGGGGTCGCGTTAATGCTGTAGCCTACCGTGAAGATGGCTTGTGGAGGACACACGCGCTACTGATATCTGTGTCGTACTTTTGGTTTTGACCCCTCTGACTTTGTACCCTTGATTACAGATTAAACATCCATAAGTGTACAAATGTGTTGTTATTGATGTGTTCCCATTTGATTATTGCTCAAAATAAGAAGCAAAATAAATAAGATATGTTTACAGGATCATTTTGTTATACGAAAAACTAAGTGATGCGTTTTCCATGGCACTCAGTATATCACCACATATCAATAAATATACATGTAGATGTATAAAAATCAGAGACTAAATTACCAATGACAGACACCCCCCCCCCCTTGTAGGTGTGCTTCACCAACTATATATTACATCTGTAAAAATTTCTCTTACTGAGCTTGAGGATTTGCTTCTGCTTGACATACTAATATCACTTCATCCTGGGCTTTGTAATATATTGTTTTCTCGACATCAGGTTCTGTAATCTTTGGAGGTAGAAGTCCTGTAATTGACAAACATTCACAAATTTACAAGTTAAATGGACATTACTAAACTACGTTAAAAATACATTAGAGCTTCACCATTTGAATTTGATTTACAGAATTTTACTCTTCTGAATGTTATTGGCTTCAATTTATAAACCCCCGCTCTAAAAACTATGCTTCAGTCAAGATGATGGCGGTTCACTCCTAAAAATATCAAATTGAATCAGATTTAATGTCTGTCAGCTAAAGCCATTTGGAGAGTAATATATAGCAATTTTTGTTTCTTGATTACGTCTGCAATGCGAGGGGGTGAGGAATGAGTCCACCATCAGTGCAATATTTCTACGTATACCTTCTGCGAACTCCCATTGCACTATTAATTTCAATACAAAATCATGCTTTTGTATGTCATCTAAAGAACAAGATACACTTCATTATTGATCCCACATTCTAAAGGTTCTAGACAGCCTACGCCAGGATTAAAACATATAATATTTTGGTTTGAGTGTTGTACATGTATTTATCGTAATCAAACAACCATATACACTTTTGTCCAGTAGAAAAGACAAATAAACACTTACTATAATTTTGTCCATAAGATATACAAAACATAATACTGAAAATTAATAACTGGTGCATTTTAATAATTGCCATCTCCTCTCACGTGCTGTTAAAAAGTCAACTAATACTGGAGTTATCGCCTCCTTAATACCACCTCAACAAACTGAAATAAAAAGAAGTAAATCTAAATATTAATTGTTTTACAATAAATTGGCATTATAGCATTCTTACAAGTTTAAATAAGATCTGTCAATCACAGCCTACATGTACATGTAGCCATCTTCAATAGAAAGCTCGATCTTGCTTTAACTCTATACATCTTATCAAGACCTTTATGTAAATACCTTGAATATTTTGGCACTAATTTGATTCGATATTCACCCAGCATGAGAACCTATCAGATTCCTCGATTATCACAAATACCAAGTCTCGCGCTTTTTAGCTAAAACGTTCGTTTAATATAAAGTTTTCCGGGGAGGTTGCTATATTTGATTTGAGTGTGTTAGTGTCAAAACTGATTGGACGCTACTGTTCACGTGTCTGCAGTAAAGGGAGAAAACATAGCTATAATTTTGGGAATTCCAAAGTAATCTAGCAACGTACAGATGGGAGCTTGTCAGGTCTCTTAAATGCCTACAATCTGCAATGAACCTTTTGTTTGGGAATATGTACAGGAATGTTCGTTTAATAATTTAAAGCAATCTTTGGCATGTGCATGTACATTAGGTTATTTTAATAGGCATGATAGAACTTTTGTTATTACTGATGCTAGTCCTGTGGGTTTAGGCGGAATTTTGATTCAAGAACAACAAGGTGAACATAGGGTTATTTCTTATGCAAGTAGATCACTTACCGAAGTCGAAAAGAAATATTCACACACTGAGAAAGAAGCGTTGGGTATAGTTTGGGCATGTGAACGTTTTCATATGTATTTATATGGTACCAATTTTGATTTGCTAACTGATCATAAGCCTCTTGAATTTATTTATTCCAAGCGATCTAAGCCAAGCGCAAGGATAGAACGTTGGGTATTAAAACTCCAACCTTATACATATAATGTTCATTATATTAAGGGTTCAGACAATATTGCTGATTGTCTATCAAGGTTAACTCAAAACCATAATTCTAAGCATAGCTCAACCGAAGATCATTATTATGTTAAATTTGTTGCAGAAATGTCTACAGCAAAAGCACTATCTACTCGTGAAATTGAACGCATTGCTTCTAAGGACGAAGAATTGTTAAATTTAAGAGATTGTATTAAAACTGGTGTATGGCATAAGCTTAAGAATAAATTTTATTTAGCAATTAGAAATGAACTTTGTGTAATAGGATATTTAATATTAAGAGGTACTAGAATTCTTGTTCCTAACAAATTAAGAGATACTGTCTTAGCATTATCACACGAAGGACATCCTGGTATTGTTGTCATGAAGAGACATTTAAGATCTAAGGTTTGGTGGCCAGGTATAGATAAAGATGTAGATAATTTTTGTAAATCATATAAGTCATGTCAAATTGTTAGCGTAACACAATCTCCGGAACCATTGAAAACTACTGATTTACCTAATGGACCTTGGCAACATATAGCAGCAGATTTGATGACTCCATCTTTACCTTCAGGTGATCATTTATTTGTTGTCGTAGATTATTATAGTCGTTATATTGAGGTGGAATGGATGAAGTCCACAACATCTGATAAAATTATTCTTAGTCTTAAGAGAATGTTTCTTATGCATGGGTTACCACTATCTATTACCACTGATAACGGTCCTCAATTTATTAGTGACCAATTTAAGGATTATTTAGAATGTAATGATATTAAGCATAGGCGTACCACACCAATATGGCCTCAGGCAAATGGCGAGGCTGAGCGACAGAATCGTTCATTGCTTAAGCGATTGAAAATTGCTTAAGCGATTGAAAATTGCTCAAATTGAACAACGAGAGTGGCATGAGGAATTAAGTAAATATCTTATGATGTATAGAACCACACCTCATAGTACTACTGGTGTTAGCCCTGCAGAATTAATGTTTAAACGTAAACTTAGAACAAAATTGCCAGCATTGGATGATTTTGATTATACCCCTGATGATTTAGCCGTTAGGGATTATGATTCCGAGCGTAAAGGGAAAGGGAAAATATATACTGACTGTAAGAGAAAAGCTTGTGAAAGTAATGTTAAAGAGAGTGATTTAGTTTTATTGAAACAAAAGCCTGAGAATAAGTTAATGGCAAATTTTGAAGCTTATCCATATCATGTCATATCTAAACATGGTAATAGTGTAACTGTAGAAAATGAACAAGGTGTGAGGTACAAGAGAAATTCGACGCATGTTAAAAAGTTTATTGATAAGTTGAATCAAAGTACTAATGATTTCAATAATGGTGAAAGTTCTGCAAGCTCTGAGTCTAAAAATAATAGAATGTTTGATTTTGATGATATTATTATTGAAAAGACAACTGGTCAAAATGATAGCAGTAATACTGTGTTAGATCAGAGTGATGTTAGTGAAAATGTTGTACATCAAGATAGTATACCTAATCAAGATAGTAATCAATCTTCTACCGATTTACATAAGTCAGAACGTGAATGTAATTTACGTCCTACTAGTACTAGATTGAGACGAATGCCTAACAGGTATCAAGATTTTGATATGGTTAAATGACGATTGTTAATTTGTTTGTTGCATGTTTGTAGTTAAATAGTCTTATAGTATTATAATAATTCTTAATCCAAGGCAAGGATTTATCTACAATATTCATTTACTGAAACTTTATATTTTATCATTATGCATGTAATGTTTACATTTTAATTACGATATTTGTTTTCAATTCTTTTTTATTATTCATAGGTATAATATTTGTAGATTTAAAAGCAATACATGTAGATTACTTTTAAAGTAAAAAGGGAGGAATTGTAGTGTCTGATGAATATGAGTTTAACAGAGTTCCCATGTCAGCCCCTGATAACAATAATATTAAGTTTGAAAAGTCCAAAGTACAAAAATATCTGTCCTTTGTGGTCGTATAAATTTATGATTCATAGCCAGATAAAAGCCACAAAATTGTCAAGTTCTTGCCCCCCCCCCCCCCCAATATGACAATATATTTCATTATGACTCAGTGATTTTCAATCAGTAATATCTGTCGCTGCATACATGTACACGTACATGTGGATCTGGCTATAGTTTTGTTACCTGTATTGCAACATATCAAAATCCATAGGTTTAGGGTTACTCTAACCCTAAACCCTAACCCGGCAATGTACACATTGACTGGTATATTTCAGGCACTGTACACATTGCCTGATTGTAGACATTGACTGTCACATATACATCATACCCATTGTATGATCACTGATCTCAAATTTATTAACCTGAGCAGGAATTCCACAGATTACTTAGTGACTTACATGTACATGTATCTACACCCATATATCTTAAGTTTCATAAAAACAACACTGACTTCATTATTTTTTCATAAAAATATCCACACTGTTCTGAAGAGAAAAAGATTGAAATTTAATGTCTTGTCAACACAATACAGTACTTATACAGTCTTGAGACCAACTAGAAATCAGCCAGATTTCTTCATGTTTGGGAATGTGAACTCAAAGATTTGTTGAAGAGAATCCTGTCATCAACCTCTCAAAGACAATAATTTGTCGCCAAATTATTATCTATTCAGATGGTTATTGTATAAGTGTCATATTACACTGCTCTATATTTAGAATGTAAAACTAAAGCTAGATGGGTTTGGAATCAGATTCTATAAGATTTGAATAAGAGAATAAGAAAAACTAATCAAATTAAACACAGAGATAAACAAATTTAATAACAATTTAATATAATAAAAAAAATTGATTCAAATATTACATAATGTAATAATAAGCTTATTAATTTGATGTAATATCTACAGCAGCTTGTCTAAGCCAGGGTATAAAATATCTTACATTATTTTACTCATATACTTTGATATTGACCAAGACCAATTAAATGATTTTGGAACTTTTTCTTGTGGAGATTAATATTCATAAGTAAAACAAGGATTGTTGAGCACATTACGATTGTATAACTCTTGTCAATTATATATTGATTTCTATAGAAAGGGTTCAATATCGAAATATTAATTGCCTATTGATCCATCGTACAATACTATTTACGAACTTATCAATTATCAGTAAAAGAAAATTTGATCCAAAATTATCATTTACTGATTATTTACATACAGGGAAAAGGTCACCCCAAAACAATCTACATGTATTTGTTATTTAAAGGAGCTAAATCGCTAATATTTAGGACCTAGAAATTGACACAAATGGTTCGCAACACAAATAATAATGTAATATGAATGTACATAAACTGATTTAGTATTTATTGCGCATGCTCTCCAGATAGGAATATGACGTAACCGTTTGAATTACTTGTGGAATATATCTAGCCCCGTCCTTCGAGTCCCTTGTTATAAATGGCACTTAAAGACATTCGTGAACCAATGGTAAAATGTTTATTTTGTCTTTCAATTTTATGGAAGCCTATAACTACCATTCATAATTTCTACTTTTCACCCCTTCAAAACACGAAAGTCGAAAAGTGACCTTGAAAGTAGAGACTACATCAACTTCCGAGGCGACAGTACGACAGCAAGCCTAATTCAAAGGTCGCTAATATCGCCATTAATACTAGACTTTATAGACTATTTTGTTAACTCGAATTAATTGTCAATGTCAACAAAACAGTACACCTTCAATAATGTATTATAACAATATCACTTATATTCTCTGTCACCACAGAGTTCTTGGTGTGGAAATTTACACGGAAATACTTATTTACGGCTAGGGATATGATATCATATCTTTCTTATCTAAATTACATCCTGCTTATTGTTGATATAGAGTTCTTGATGTGGAAATTTACACGTAAATATTTATTTATGGCTGGGGATATGATATATCTTTCTTATCTAAATGACATCCTGCTTAGTGTTGATATATGTATATATGAAAGTCGATGACACAACGAAAAGGAAATTAATGGAAACCCATTTTATTAAAAAAATACGTTCCACGACTTAATAGTCAATAAGTAACAATTGGCCATTAGCTTCATTAATTTTCTTAAATCTATCCCATGATTATCTTCCTCTCATTGTTCCAAAATTGAACCCATATACTACAGATTAACACACGTGTGTACATGTTTTCAATTAGTTAACGATATACTATGTAACCATAGACAATGGTAACTATAGCCAATTAAAACCACAGTGTTACTATGTAAATATGTATAAATATACTATACTGTCCATCTTTATACAATGGCATTATTTATGAATAGTCCCAAGACGGACGAAAAGTACTTTAAAATGTTAAAATGTTATTAAACCAGTGTTGAAATCAGTTTATCTCGGCATACCTTTTATCTTTTCATCGTTTACCGTGAAACAAAGTAGTGCAGCTTTACGGTTGGCACAATACTGGATCAACGACCAGTTGGTATATACTTCAAAGGCGGCATTGACAAACTTCGAGACCAATGACGTCTATATCCGGTTTACTTATTCTTTCATACAATAGTTATCTTCCCGAGAATCGAAAGAAGAATGTTGTCTATTATTAGAGCAGTATCTTCGCGCTTTAATATCTTATGAGTTTCGCGCTTTCTGAACGCTAGGCTAGAAGTAGAGAGAAGGACTTCGTTTACCACTACCAGCGTTCTTATTAGGCCTATAGGCCTATTTTTATCTACAAACAGTTGTCTTTTATTTCTCAGCATAGGAGACTTTCTGGTCTGGGTATGTATAATTATAAAGTTTAAATATGATGTTGCTAATGCTAATCATAGTAGGTACTAAATATTTAGTTCTATGGTCTAGACTGCTGACTTCATGAATGTGAAGTGGAATTTAGAAATTATTAAGAAAAGTGATATATATGATCTTGTATTGGCCTTGGTCAGGGTCTCCAGTCGCTAGGCCCAGGTAGACACCGACTGACCGACCGTACACATTAACTTTATACTTTATTTCAATTTATTTATTTCAAGCATATTAAATTAATAATATAAGTAAGAGGCCCGTCTATAGCCACTGCCCAGCATGACTTGATTATTATTAATAAATATTTTAAGAAAAACAAATATATAAATATAATGAATTCAGTTCTTATCATTGTCATTATTATATCAAATATTATTATTCACTCACTATATTATAATTAAAATGCAATTTGATGTCTGGGCAGTAGGTGACATGACTAGGCCCATCTTCAATAGAACTTTGAAGGCTTGAACTCGCCGTAACTAATTAATTAAGTACTTACATCTTAGATGTTAACACAAGGTACAATTTTGTGAATACACAATTACTGAGTTTGACGTGTACTTAAAAGATCCCTTGGCAGTTAGAATTCGATATAAGAGTAATCCGTAGCACTGCTGCCCGGGCAAATTTCCCTCATGGCACACTGTATGGCGTATGCCCGTCTTCCATTAGCCAAAGTTAGGTGCAAAAGAGTAGGACGTTAAACCCCATTTAATTTCATTTACTACAATCACCGGTATCTACGTGTTTAACTTAGGTTAGAAGTAGTTATACTTTATAGTTTAATAAATGCCATTTTTTCTGTTTCATGATTCATCACTAGTAGTTTTGATAACCAATTGGTTTCAAAGATATTTAGTCTATTTATTCCAGTATTTGGTAAATATTTAGGAAATTAAGACAGGTGAGCAAATTACATTGTATTTAATTAATATGGCTTTACAAAATAGTAGTAGTAGATTTAATCTGTCTTTGCCCAATAAAACTTTGCCTGTTGTTATCTGTTGACTCTATGATATTAAACGAAACGCAGCACATATTAAACTCTCTAAATGTGAAGACTCCAAATACATGCCCCCAATAAAAGATTTGGATGAAATTATCAGGCTTTTGAATACCGGTAATGACAAAGATTTTTATGTAGATTTACCATATGGCAATTTCAGTTTTGAAGAGATCAAGCTTTTTCGAGATTTTTACATTGCTAAAAGCTTAAGACAAGAATTAGAAAATGAAAATAAATACATTTTGAATTGGCAACCCTTATTTACACCGATAGACAATATCAACCATGAACAGGTTGTTGAATTTAAAAATATTCTCCAGAACAATCCCAATTCTTTTAAACCAAAAATTCCTGGTAATTATCAGTTGCCAGTGTCAGAATTAAACACTTTGTTGTGTGATAGATGGCTAAGCGATTCAGTGATTGATAAAATTATTGAACTGTTAAAAGATTGTATTTCTGACTCAGATTATGTTGGTTATTTAAATTCCATTCATGATCTTCAAAATACAGGCTCTAGGTTGTATACTAAGCATCCTAACATAACAAAGTTTGTTTTTGTTCTATGTGTGAAATCCTTAACCCATTCAAGTACTGGTGAAACAATCACATATTTGGCTGGGAAAGATATAAATATTGATACAGGAGAACAAATCATCAATGGGAATCATTTTTCTTTCTGTGTATATGATGTAGTTATTAATAAAGTCATTTATATTGATACATTAGGTTTAGCATTACCAGATAGTTTAATGTTCAATTTAAACAACTTTATTAGTGGCTATAATTCAAGTTTGTTGGACAATTTAAGCATGGCAGAAATACAAATAGCTCATAGTCCAAACTTAAATGGCCATCCTCATAATGCATGTGAAGAAATGTGCTATTTATATCCAAAACAGAGTTGCGGTTCAGTATGTGGGCCGTCTGTTATATTAGGGATAACTGTACTTTTACTTCGACAAGACATTTTTAAATTTATTTTGTCAACTACCTATCAACAGGCTAATGATATTAATATTACAAATGAAGTACAAGCATTTAAACACTTTATACCAGATTTTTCTTTACATGCGAAAAGTATTCGGTTTGCAATCATTTCATGGTTAATGACTGGTCACATAAACATAAATAATATATTGCAAAAATCTGATGAAGAAATAAGCTTACATATAAACAATAATGATACTAATATAATTGAACAGAATATTGATTCTGATGATGACTTTGTACCTGTTGGTTTTAAACCAAAGATCCTCAAAACAAAAGGTAAACAGACACTTCCATGTAATTCAAACAAAACTAAATCAAAAGAAAATGTTACAACTACAAGCAAAGATATAAGCAATTCATGCATAAATGACTATGTGACAGGAGCTCCTTTAATTGTATTTTCAAAGAAATCATCCAGTCTTATATTGAAATATAAATTGAAATCTACTCATAGATATTTATCTAAAAGTTTTAAGTGTTCCCATTCAGGAAAAGAGGATTCATATACGATGAATCAAATACAAGAATTTATTTCGAGTGAAAGTGCATTATTATGGGTAGAAAATAAGATAAAGTCAGATACAAACAAACAGTCCTTAGACTTAACGTTAACACCTGAACTTCAGACTATATTTGGAAGGCAGCCATTTGTTTATTATTGTAAACAGTCAAATAAACTGAAGTTACAATGTTTTTTGAAAACTGGTAATTTTATAACAAAATCATTTCCCTGTACCGCAGAAAGATTAGGAGATCCGGAAGCAATTAAGAACATCCGTTCGTTTTTTTACAGCCGTGCAGTCTATGATTGGGTCAAAAGTAAAGATGATCCAATGTGGAAAGAATGCGGGGAAGTAACAGTAGGAACTAATACTAATAACTATTTTGATAAATTTGGTTTTGATTTTACTAAAGATTTAAAAATTGCTTCAGGTGTAACATCCACTTACCAAACTAAAAACACAATGAAAGTTTCTGTCACTGAAAATGATAACTGGGGTAAAACACACAGATTTGATGAAATATATCAGTTAACAGGAGATACATATTCAGATAAAAATGTTCCAGTTGTTACTATGTATATTAAATGTGCATCAAAATCTAATATTTGCAAGACCAAATGTCATAATGCTTTTATTAAAGATATTTCTGGTTTTAATGGAGATGAAATAAGTTGTCCTGGATGTGATACATTAATTTCTTGTATTAAATCTAAGTGTACAAATTGTACTGTAGAAACCAGTCCACTTTGGTCTTTAATTGATGGTAAAGCATATTGCAATGCTTGTTATAGATATTTCTACAAACATAAAATTATGAGACCAGCTGAATTGATGTTAACATCTACTTCTAAAAAAGTCAGCCAAATTAATTATGAGCATTTTAACTGTGGTTGGGAAATCAAACTTAAAATATTTAGTAACAATTTAAATGTTTGGAAAATATATGAAAAAAATTCAAATAATAATTTTCATCCATCAGATTTAAAATCAGAGAAGTCTAGACCAACACTTTCAACTAGAGATTTTTGGGATCAACAGAGAATATATGTCAGAGCCACACCAAAACAAATTTTATCAGCAACTAATATCCAAAGTAATTTACATGTGTCAGGTAATATTACATACGGAAATAAGGACGCAAATTTTAACCTAAGACAAATTTCCAATAGAGTTCAGTTAGTTGACAGGCATGATGTGAAATTAAGTTTGAAAAATCAAGATGAAATTCCTTTGCCAGGTTCAGATTGGCGTAACACTGAAAAATTATTAGAAGCCAACTATGAGTCTGTTCTTTTATTTCAAAGAGGTAATGATAACCTTAATAGAGACTATCACATTATCTTTGCTACACAAGAAAGTCTCTCATTTCTGAGGAAACTGGGTAATTTTATCGGAATGGATGTAAAACACGACTTTATGGCAGCAAGGTTTAAAACTACATGTTTCACATTTTGTGATGAAATGAATACAGGTCGCGCAGCTGCATTTGCTATATGTAATAGAGAGACCCAATCAGCACATGCCTTGTCTCTTAAACTATTACTAGCCAATGTGCCTTGTAATGATCCAAATTGTGATCATCCAAGTGAACTCTTCATTTTTGATGATATGAATGGCTTTTTTACAATAAAATCTTGCGCTTTGTCACACCCTTTTAAACCAACCATACAGCATGATAAAGATTCTGCTACAAGAAGTGCTGTTGATCAAATTGGTCTAATTTCCATTCTATGCAATTTTCATTCTTTACAAGCCTTTAGACGGAACATTGTAGAGAATCCACAAAGCAAATTATTCTTGAGACCGCTAGAAACTGGCTTTAAATGTGTAATGTGAGCATGGGATCAAGAATCACGTGTGATCTTGATAAATAATTATTTACATTTTATTCAAGACATTATACCAAATAAAATGATGTCTACTTCCTCAAAAAATGACCTAATAAATTACTTGAATAAATATTGGTATTGCTCTTTATGGTCAAAATCATTCACAGCTGAACAGATGTATTTAGCAAATCCATCTGAACGCCGCAACCCACTTATTTTGACTGATAATGTCACAGAGCGAAAATTTCTTGATATTGACAGTACTTATTTAAATAGTCAGTTGAATAGATTAATGTTTAGTTTCGTTCAAAAGAGTTTGCACAGAATTCTTCCAGATGATAATAATAGTTGTAAACGTACACTTAGTACTGACAGTTTATTTCGGAAGGGCAAAATAATAAACAAGCCATTAGAACGTACAATTTGTGACAGAGCATTGAATCTTGTCCTGAAGGGGTCTGTGTATAAGATAGATCTTGAGGAAGGTTGGGCTTTAATCAGAAGTGAATCGCATTCATGTAGTACCTCGGATGCTAGTAGTGTTCAAGATAACTATTTTACTGGAGGTCAAATATCTGATACAAACCATGTATTTGATATTGGAGAACAATTTCCCTCCTCACAAATAAAAAAATCTATATTTGATACTGCGAAAAGTGTTGATAATGATCATTCTTACAATGTTATCTCTAAATGTAAAAATATACTATCACAATTAGATGTACAAGTAACTCAAATAATGCATGATCATCTATTTGATCTTTTACCTATCGAATTCCAAAATTTTATGGAATCTTATTCACACATTGTAAATTTAACATTAGGAGTATGTTCATGCACTGCTTTTATTATCAAAGGTCAGCCATACCTTTGCAAACACCTGTACGCTTGCTTAGCTATCAAGCATAACATTTCTACTATTGATACTCTGTTACATCAAGGTCAGTTGTTTTTCCCATCACTTGTTAATGTATCAAATTTAAATACTGGTTCCAGTGCAAATGTTTCAATAGATGACCCACTCATTGCACTACAATTAATGTCACATAAAGCTGAGGAAAAAGAAATAGATAATGCAAAATCAGGAAAAATTCTTAGTGTGTTGCATGATCAGAGTCACACAAGAATATCAAGACCAAAGGGAAATTTAGCTACGCGTCTTCCACACAATCAAGGGAATCGTAGACTAGGTGACTGTGTAAAAGATCCAAAGTATGATTTATTATTACCAGTCCCTAGTCAAAATTTGAGTGATGGGATCCAAGATCCATACAAACCAAATGTTGTATTTCCAGATAATTCTAAAGAGAGACATGGTGGTAGAAAGAGAATCCCAATAGCCAGTCGAGGCATAAATTTTGATAAGGTAGTACAATAAGCAATGGTATCTTTGGGCATTACGTTAAAGTCATCAGAACAAGATTCAGTTAAAGTTACAGATACCGATACACAAAACATTGATATAAATAATGACGTGCCTGATATTTGTATTGATACAAAGAGTAAAACCGCAAATAAGATAGCTATAGATAGTTCCCAGGCTGAATGTGTGAAGCCTATGTTTTACTTGTATTCAGTTAAATCAAAAACCTCCTTATACATGTAAAACACAAACTGAACTTTTAAAACATATATCTATTTCTCACAACCTTAGATTACTTACATGTACCAAATGTTTCTCTGATAGTGGTTCCATTATTCAATTTGAAAATGAAAACCAACTTAAAAAACATTCTCGAATTTCTCATTCTAAGCTGAAATTGAAAAAACGTCCAATGGCTGAAAAAGATAGAGAAACTACGCTTATTGCCCACATACCCAATATTGTTGATAACAGCTGTACAAAAATAAGGAAAATCGATGAAAACGACTGCAAAAGAAATTTGTGTGCACTAAACAACGCAACTGATCAGGAGTTAGAAGATATAGTGAAGTCGAAAGGAAAACCTGGTTTAAGAAATTTGGCGAAAGCTAAATTTGAGAAAATTTCAAGAAAAACATCGACTGCTTCAGAATTTCTATCCAAAGAAAAGAAATCCAAAGACCTTTTCAGTTGTTCTGTTTGTAATTTAAAATGCTCGTATGATCCACCGACTATTTTCTGTAACAAATGTGAATATTGGTTTCACTGGCATTGTGTGTCAATAATTAGTGAACCTCTAGAGGAAGAATGGTTTTGTCTTGAATGTTCGCAAAAATGCTAGGATTTTAAACACATTATTAGGGACCTCATGCTGGCGGATCAGTCGCATGATTATTTAGGGTGATAGGGTTATTTATTTTGGAATAGCATATTATTGTATTTTAAAGGTGTTAACCCTCGGTCGTAGCTCAGGTCCTAAAAATCTTTATGTTTTTCAAAATCTAATTGATGGAACTGTTTTAATCCGATGGATCCTTTGATTTTGTTTTCTTAATTAAATCAATCTGAGTACAGGTTAGCATGGATTAAGCAAAGAGAAATTTGATATTTTATGTAAAATTCAAATCACAAACAGCTATTTTAAAAGTTTTAAGCATGGTGTAAAGCCCTGCCTCACCACCTTCAGTCAGTCATTCTTGTATGTAAACAGGAGTAATGTAATCATGCATTTATAAATCTCCCAACAGAAATGCTAGCTGCTATTATACTTACTAGCAAACAACACATATTATGAACATTAATAGTTTATCTTCAAGAATATTTGTTCTTATGACTGAAAAACCAGCATATGAGGATTTTTTTGCTAGGCAGTATAAGAAACAAATATCAATGAGATACACACAAAAAGTAACACAGAAAGGGTGTTGATTCATGTGACTGAACAACCAGAGTGATGAATAATTTATTTAATAGTGGAAATATTATTTTTATGCAAACATATACCGGAAATTCATTCTATCTATTCATATGTCACCCAATCCTAACTGATGTAAATGTATTTTGTGGTGCTCTGGAAGATTAATAATTTTTCGGCCATGTAGATTTATTTTGTGTATATTTATAGGATTGAGAAGTCATGTCAAGATAATTTTAAAGCTTGCTATCAAACCCAATGGTCTATCCAAGGTAAGTACTATCTATTTCAGAATATAAAATTGCAACATTTCATAATGACATTGATGCAGAAAAACTAGCTCTTGCTTAATTAAAATATGAAGAGTTATTTTGTTAGGTGTTTAGACTAGTTTAGAGTGTTTATTATGCCATCATGTCTTATAATATAGAAATTGATGTATTTTATTTATATCAATTTGATCAGGATCTTTAAAATATGAAGATACAGAATGCATCTACATTTTCTATTGCAATTTGATTTATGTAAAAACCAATTCCTCTTTTCAGATGATGGCTGGCCTAATGAGAGTGACAGTGTTGAAAATTACACAATTAAAACAGAAAAGTGCCTGTTACAATCTAAATTCCCATTAATTGTTAAAGACTTTGAAAAACAGCAAGACGAAAAAGTAAAACAAAAGTCTTCAGGTAAAAATAATTGATTTCTTTAATTTATTTACATCATTTCGTATTCACAGAATTCTATAATTGACAGCCTTGTCAACTTCAATCAAGTATAGTTGGATTTTAGACACACCCACAAATGAGTTAAATTACATTATAAATAAATTTGTCAGAGCTGAATATATATTTTTTTTCACGATTTTACTATGCAATTCGTTAAGTTTAATGAACTTGTGTATTTCTGATGATACTTACTATTCTTAAATTGTCATTTCAGAAAAGCAAAAGAAGCCTCAAATAAAAAAGGACCCTCATCAAATGACAATGGATAAGTTTTTTTCTTCAAGAAAAAGATTAAACTTTGACAGTAGTAGAACAAGTAAAAAGAAAAAAAGTTAATGAGACCAATTGATCATGTAAAGAAATTGTGTAAGACTAATACTGTGATATAACAGGCAACATTATTGTGTCTAACTTACACCTCTGACATATAGGGCCCTAAAATTAAAATTTATATTATTTTAAAATCAAAATAACAGAAATTGGTTCATTATTTTAAAATGTCAAAAATTGTGAATCTTTTTCAAAAGTACTTTTTTTAAAGATATATTTAATGTGTACAGGTCACAATTCTATGGAATACAATTACTGCTTATTACTGAGCGACGTTTCGACTAGGCTTCTCTAGTCATTATCAATACAGTAATTGTATTCCATAGAATTGTGACCTGTATACTCTAGTTCAATTACTAAATGCCATTGAAACAGTTTATATTTAATGTAATCTTGGCAGATTGCGTCATCCAAAGTATTTAGTTTATCAGGTCCGAGTTCACAAAGCATTCTTAGCCTTAAGTTAAGAATTTACTCAACTTTCAATAACTGTTTATGAGAAATATCTTTCATCCAGAAACACAAAACCTTGCACATATTTTTTGTTTTGGGGGGGGGGGGGGTGTAGTCAAGACATTAAAACAACAAAAGTTTTATTAAAGGGACCATTCTGATTTTAACAGTCTCAGAAATGGTGTATTTACCTTGTCTCAAATTTCAGCTCAAAATGTTGAGTCGTTTGGACGTGAACATCAAAATCGCTTATCTGGACACGTAACCTTTTGAAAATTTCGGGTCAGTTTTTTCTTTGGGTTACCTGATAATCTATTGCCGTCCCTTTAGAGGTCTATACAGTGCATGACCCACGTGCTGTACTTGATAATGAAAGGTAAATTTTACCTACACCTTATTTTTATAAAATAAAAGTATGGTTTTATCCAGACACTGTATAATACAGCTTGAGACACTGGTCTCCATTTCCAGATGAAGGCGGATGGGTTCAAGTTGTTTGAAAATGTATCATGCATATTGAGTTAGATGCTCGGCCCTAAGGTAGAAGATTTTAAGGGCTTTTAACACAAAATTAAGCAGTTTTATTCTCCAAAATATAATCGAGATTGACCCTTTAAGGGTTATATTTTAGTTAAAATAAGGCCATTAATTTTGATTAAATTCTTAACTTAAGTCTGTGAATGTTTTGTAAACTCGGGGACAGGTCCTAACAGGTGTAATGAAAGTTTACATTCCAATTACCCTAAGCATTTTCTAAATCTTTTATAATTTTATATACTTCATAGTTTGTTCTAGCTATATAGTCCCTTTCATTTTTTCCTGCATAATCCATCCCAGTTGATTTCATTTGGGATGATGGAGGAATATCAATTATTATTAAAATCTCTTCTACTTAATATTTATCATTAAAATGCAGTAGTCATAAAATATACTCTTCAAAAAAAGTAGGGGATATTCAGAAACAATACAAAACTGCAGAAATGCACTGCTGTTTTTATTAGAGGTAACCAGTGTATGTTAATAACAGGCCAATTGCCTACACATGAACATAAACAGTTCATATGGGCGGCTTATCTGACGGCCCCATTTCACTCGCAAATACATACACTGTCAAAAGTGAAAATGGACTTTTTTGATTTTTGTCTTAATAATGAATAATTGCTCCACCAATCCTCAGACATTCAGCAATTCGCCGTGGCATGCTCCTTATCAACCGTCCAATCACGATTCGGGGCAATCTGACCCACTCCTCTTGCAGTTCCACCGCCAATTCTTGCATTGTTGTCGGTTGACGTTGACGAACACGTCTTCCGATCAAATTAAACGTAACACACTAAAGCAAAGATACGCTAAACAGTAAATCTTATGCAAGAACCAATAGGAAAGCAAACATGGATAGATAAACCAGCACACAGCAGTTTTCATCAACCCTTCCTTGAAGTGTCAAATTTGACAATGAACCCCTCCCACGTGTATGGCGCTATTGTGTGTCGCATGTGCAGCTCAGTGGTTCTCTTGGGGCGGTAAGTTCTTAGGCATTTCAATATCCCCTACTTTTTTTGAAGAGTATATTATACCAAAATTTGACACTGCATATGTGCAATGACTTTCATATAACATACAAGTACATGTATGATAAAGTCCACAATGGTCACATCTGCCATTGTATATCTGATGTAGGCTTTTATGAATATGTACACGATATAAAAAATTGATAACAAATGAATATTAATAAGGTGTGCCTATTGTTATTATATAATATAAAATAATATACATGTATGACACCTTTTATATGGCCTGTACAGTATAGAAACTACTGGACAATTTAATGCATGTACCAAAACTTTTGAAAAATAAAAATTAAACTAGAAATACCTTCTTTTTTTCCTCCGCCTATTAAAATGGGTTCGTCCGTCACACTTTTTGGGACATAATAACTCTCTAATTGAGCTAGAATGTTCAGACTTGGTGTAGGTGTTTATTAGGTCAATGTCTTGATGGAGTTCGAAGATGAGCATTTTCTGCTTCGGGTAAGCAGAGATAAGCAATTTGATTGATTGATGCCTTGGGACACGATAACGTTTGTTCTAATTAAGTGAGAGTGACGAAACTTGGTGTATAGTTTCATTACATCAATGCCTTGACTAAGTTCGATAATGAGCATTTGATAAGCAATTTGATTGGTCAAGACTTTTGAACACAATAACTTTCATTCTAATTGAGTTAGAATGTTCACACTTTGTGTAGGTGTTTATTAGGAGAATGCCTTGATGGAGTTCGAAGATGAGAATTGTCTGCTTAGGGTAAGCAGAGATAAGCAATTTGATTGGTTGATGCTTTGGGACACAATAACTTTAGTTCTAATTAAGTGAGAGTGGGGACACTTGGTGTATAGATTTATTACATCAATACCTTGATTAAGTTTGATAAATAACATTTTCTGCTTAGGGTAAGCAGAGCGATAAGCAATTTGATTGGTCAAGACTTGAACACAATAACTCTACTTCTAATTGTGGTAGAATGTTCAAACTTGGTGTAGGTGTTCATTAGCTCAATGCCTTGGTGGAGTTTGATGATGAACATTGTCTGCTTACGGTAAGCAATCTGATTGGTTGATGCTTTGGAGCACGATAACTTTGGTCATAAAGAAGTGAGAGCGATGGAACTCTGAATATTGAATCATTATATCATTACCTTGACTAAGTTTGACGGTGAGAATTTTCTGCTTAGGCTAAGGAGCGATAAGCAATTTGATTGGTTAAGACTTTGGAGAGAGAGAGAGAAATGGGGTTTAACCTCCACTCGACACAAACTAGGTCACTTCGGGTCTAAGCATGGTTCAATTTTTTATTTCAATAATTCGATTGCGCGTAGGGGTCTTTAGCAGTGGGAGGAAACCGGAGGACCCGGAGAAAACCCACGAGGTTGGACAGGCGACCCTACTCCTTGTCACAAACAACCAAGGAATCGAAACCATGCTATTTGACTTAATGACAGACCTTATGATACAACGAGCACGTACATGCTAACCATTCGGCCACCCCCCCCCCTCCCCTTAAATAAAATGACCTTCAAAGAAAGCACACCAACAACTACATGGATGGACCTCAGTTTTCCATACCAGTTTAAACTGTATTACAAAAATATTACCCATCACCACAGTTCACACATCCTTTCTAGCTTTATCAACATGACTCCAAGTAAGTTCAGTAATTACGCCACATGGTGAATGAAGACAATCTCGGCATGGTTTGCGAATCGCGCATCTTCCACGCTCCGTCCGTGTGAATTCCAGGTACCGATAGATATTAAAATAACAACTGGATCATACATTGATGGATTAACTGACCAGTTGTTAGGTAAATTTAAATCTTCATTGAATATAATTCCCTGATAGAACATTGAATACACGGAGAGAGAAACAGTGGATATTTTCCTAACAGAATCTCGAATGGCGAATTCCAATGACACGTGACATATCGGTTGGAATTAGGTCAATAAACCAGTTCTAAATAGTGTTGACCATTATGATTTTTTATTTTATACACATCCTGACAGAGACTTAATTTTAAAAATATTATTGAAGGCTATATCATAGTCATACATAACTTTATTTTATAGCAACTTTAGTTATGGTTGTCACATGATCATTGTGCCGTTTGTCTATCATCGACGAATGAATAAAAACTTTTGCAAGTAACGTGACTAATTACGTGATGGACAAAAGACTACAAATTGTCCTATGAAGAAATGCCATGGTGCTGTATTAGCTTATTTTGACTATGGCATTTTCTGGATATTACTTTTGACACAATTTAAGTGTTTACCAATAACTCCATCTAATTGTTTTATTTTTATCATTGTTGTTGTACTTTGGTGTTTAGGATAACACAATAAACACAATTTTGTTTTTTTAGACAGTATTATTAATTAAGATTCGGAGGATTAGCGCAGATTCCATACATGAGAATCCTCTTAGATTCCTCCAAAAAATGACAAATTTCTAGCCCTATGTAACACTTGAACAAAATTTCTGTTCAAATTTATTCTACACACACAATAAAAACAATGTTTAAGATTCTTTCAATTTTTAAAAACATTCCACAAATGTTCTTTACTTTCCAAGAACCACAACAAGATTTAGAATCTCCTTCATGGCACTTTGTCTTTTTCTATATTGTGATTTCCTATGTAGATCTTAGTATGTAGTTCAATGCAATTCCTGTCACGTTCCAAAGAATTCAATACCTGTACTAGGTTTATACTATCTAACACCACTTCTAGAACTCACTCTACCCAAACTTTGACTTCGACCTTGTTTTAAACCCTGGGAAATAAAACAAAATATATGAATAAAAGAATATTTAAAATGACCAACAGCAATAAATTTTGATCATATTTTTGTAAATACCATTTTTGGACTGATTTCACAATATTCCACTTTCACAATATTTCTCAATCCCTCAAATGCCATTCAGAGACTTTAATTGATAAAGTAAAGTATGATTGAATCACATGTACTTTGTACATTAATTTACAATTTCAAGAGAGAAAAAAAAAAATCAGCTGATAAAGCAAATAATCCAGTATGTATAATATTTTATCACCCAATAATACATTCTACAGTAGATATTGCTTGTGTGATATATTTCATAATCTACTGCGATATCTCCTTAGGAGATATCGCTTTACATGAATTTGATTGGTCAGTTGAAAAGGAACTACTTTTTTTTTTATTTTCAAAGAACAGTTCATTTCTTATTAAAAGTAATTTTCTTTTTATTAAAAATGAACTATTGTTATTCAATTGACCTAGATGGAAACACTGGGTCAATATAAAGGACTTTGCAATGGTTGAATTGCTGTCAAAAAATGATGTATCACTACGCCGTAATGTTCAGTAAAAGTGAAATCTACAGCAAACAATTATATTTATCTATTTGCGTATGTAAGAAGAAATTGGGTGATAAATAAAATCTCCTACTCGTCTTTTTTGATATCAAAAAATATCAACACTCGTTGATAAAGTAAAAAAAAAACTTGGCAAGCCTCGTTTTTTGTTACTTTATCAACTTGTGTTGATATTTTTTGATATCAAAAAAGACTGGTAGGAGATTCTCTATATATTTAGGACTGAAAGCTTCATCACAGATCTAGGTCTTCAGTTACTCTTGGTTTTTCTTCCCAACCCCTGACTATACTAATAAACTTTGAAGCTTCTGTATTATAATAATTATATTTAGATTTAATTTCTAATCATGAAATTTGATAAAATATTTTAAGACCGAAAATTGATGTACCTGATAGTATCCTGTGTGATAACCATTCATATACCAAGATATTAACATACTATATAAAGCTTCATTATCGTCATCTACATCTTCATCTAAAAATGGTGGAGGTGGTGGCAATGAAGGTATTCTCGAAAACAAAAACAAATAAAGGTAAATGATGAATAAATAATACATCTTAATGCATTATGTAAGAATTAAAGAAAGCGCTGGTTGTTCTTGTTATAATAGTTCAATGAATTAATGAATATATTGAAAATTTCAGTCAAATATCTTCATTTTCATTTTTCATGTTTGGCTGATTAACCGTTCATATTCTCGACTGTCAAGTACCATTGCCACAACAATAAACAAAGTCTCAAATCTCAGTCATTCAATCAATAGTTTCAAGGAGTAGTAGCATATCGTTTAACGAAGATATGGCTGGCATTGTCTGATTGATTCAATATCTAAGCCATCAGATGGTCTATAGAGTTGATTATAGACTTGTCTTATGAATAAATGTCTAAAAAGTAATTTACATAACATTTGAAGACAGGAAAAAGACCTGCAATACGCAGATATACATATCAATTTATTATATGTAGATAGAAAATCATAAATTTCACTTCTGTACGTAGTTGAAATACTATACATATTCTGCTTTTCAGACAGGATATTTAAGACTGGTTCTCACTTGTCACTCAGAGATTATGTCTGCAGGGCTGACAAGGAAAGTGTGCCTAGTCATTTGGATGGGATAAAAAATCATCCAATGTCATGGTACACAATAATTTAAATTTGTTGGGAAAGGCAGACCTAAATGATTAAACTTGACTCATCTTTTATATTAAGAACTTTGTTTTTTTCTTTACGCTAAAACTAATAACTTACTGGTGAATGAGATGCTCTATAACTGGGCATATGAGAACCAGGTGGAAATGGTGGCTGTGAACAAAAAACAATAGTATTAAATAAATATTTATTATATAAGACTATCAAAATTTCTTCAATGAAACTGTAGTTCAACAATACCAAAGGAAAGATGGGACTTGTTCTGTTTTTAGGCTACAAGATTAATTGGAAAATCGTGCACAAATACACAGACTTTGTATTGTTAAGGCAAATGAAATACAGCCGGAAGAAATCAAATTTGATGCAGTGTCCACTCAATCTATTAATGTAGGAAACAACAAGTATTGCCTAATTCAGAAACCATTTATATAAATATATACAAAATTAGATATTCTATTAGGTTTTCTGGACCATAATTACATGTACATTATTATATTTATACAATTAAATTATATACATACAAAACATCTTTCTCCCTAAATAATGATGGCCCTAATCATAAAGAGACTGGCTAAAAGGCAGCAATGTCCAGCAAAGTTTTTCTATACTCACTGGCATCATTCCTGGAAATGGTGGAGGTGGAGGATGAAAACCAGGATAGTTCCAGGAGTTTTGATTAGCTGCTCCTAAATCTGGTCCATCAGAATAATTATGTTTAGAATGTCTTTCATAACCAACACTTTCAGTCTACAATGAAAAACATCAACAACTGTACCTAAATTAACTATTCCTTTAATCTATAATATTTCTTACTTAATTCAGATATATAATTGTGTCAGAAAGAACACTTTAAAAATATTTAATATCTGCGTGATCAATATTAAAACTGTGAAATATAATGAGGTGCTCTATTGAGAAAAACTGATTTTCAGATACTGAGATCACACTATGAAGAGTATTACAGGAGTAATTATGGCTCCCAGGTCCTTTTTACATAAAATATGGTGAATTCATTAACCATCTCTTAAATCTGACACCAAACTGAAAGTTCTATAGTATTTCAGAATTGTGAACTTTAACAAGCTACACCAATATCTGAACTGACAAGCTTTCAATCAAGCATCTCCTTTGAATTACCTCACTAGCAGACGTGAGTTTATCATTGAATGAGTTTGAGCTGGGTCGTTGAAGATCAGCTAGATTTTGTTCTTCTTCGTTACCATAGTCTATATATTGTACTACACATGTATTATTACTGGTATCTATAGAGATTATTTTAGCATTATAAACAAAATCGTCTTCTGAATATACTGCCCTACATAGATCACCAACTTGCCACTGAAACAGAATTGTTCATTGCTTAGACAAGTACATACAATTTGTGTATATGTGATATATGATGGTTGTATTGATTTTTATCAGTCAATAATATATATATATACACGTAACGGTGCTTTTATTTTAAATTAAAACATTTACCACATATGGTTTTGTGTGTCAGTATCTTGTAGTGGCAATGTACACACTTTAAATCTAATACTGTTTAAGGACAATATTGGCGTCCGTCATTATCACATATGTGATAGAACTAGTAAACACGTTCCAAACATAATTTTAATGCAGAGATCATTGCTATGATAGATGCATTATGAAGATTTCAAGAAAGGGAAGTGACAAACTCAAAAGGAAAACATGAGTTATCCTTCTATATAATTGACTGAAGTGACAAGTGATCACAAGTACATAGACGAATTTCTGCTCACTAATAATTCCTTCGAAGACCAAAAGTTGTTATATGAGACTGTGGGGAGGATACCTGACAATTCAAAAAAAAAATTGACTGTCACTAGATTTATTCAAGTATGTTCTCTTATTCTTACCTTTTGCTTTTTTCTTGGTTTATTTTTACTTTTACTCTTCTTTTTTTTTTCCTCTACCACGTTTCACTTGACCAGTAGCTGATGTTGCTGCTGTGTCCTCTATTTCTCCTCCATTTAATTTTGCCTTAAAAATTTTGTTCACGTTACTTTTTATTTTCTTTTATGAATCAAAAAATCATGATATGGCTTATCAATCAATCTAATTTCAGCTATTCTATAGAAATAAATGGATATTAACTAGATATTAATTAAAGAAACGTATAATTCCAACTCGCTCAAGAATAGGATCCTACGTGTACCTATTATAACCATCAATTTAGAAATATATTCAAATTCGAAAAATATATTGTTGCCAAAAACATTATGGCATACTCCAAGCAAAGCTTGACTCGTTTCAAAAGCTACAAATTTGAATTTCATTATCATATAATATAGTTTATAATTTAATACATTTGTAAAGGACATGCCGCACACACCAGCTAGATAGCTGTTCAGTGGTGCAGGTTATTATGTATCTGATAAATAAACCCTTAACATATGTCAAATGTGAATACAGAACTTGTCACCAACGGCGGCAATGGCAGAAATATGAGCGAGATATCTGTATCTTGTCATTTTAACAATTGTGAGCTTATTATAAAGTAAGTTTTCTAGGTTAAATAATGTCTTTAATTGGGTTAATGAGCATATCTTTTATAACCAGAATGTGATTTATAAAATTTGTTTGATGAAGCAATCTATCACAATACAAAATAAAATCATACCTTCACAGCTGAAACTGCTTCATCATTTTTGTAAAGCCATATTAATTAAATACAATGTAACTTGCTCACCTGTCTTAATTTCCTAAATATTTACCAAATACTGGAATAAATAGACTAAATATCTTTGAAACCAATTGGTTATCAAAACTACTAGTGATGAATCATGAAACAGAAAAAATGGCATTTATTAAACTATAAAGTATAACTACTTCTAACCTAAGTTAAACACGTAGATACCGGTGATTGTAGTAAATGAAATTAAATGGGGTTTAACGTCCTACTCTTTTGCACCTAACTTTGGCTAATGGAAGACGGGCATACGCCATACAGTGTGCCATGAGGGAAATTTGCCCGGGCAGCAGTGCTACGGATTACTCTTATATCGAATTCTAACTGCCAAGGGATCTTTTAAGTACACGTCAAACTCAGTAATTGTGTATTCACAAAATTGTACCTTGTGTTAACATCTAAGATGTAAGTACTTAATTAATTAGTTACGGCGAGTTCAAGCCTTCAAAGTTCTATTGAAGATGGGCCTAGTCATGTCACCTACTGCCCAGACATCAAATTGCATTTTAATTATAATATAGTGAGTGAATAATAATATTTGATATAATAATGACAATGCTAAGAACTGAATTCATTATATTTATATATTTGTTTTTCTTAAAATATTTATTATTAATAATCAAGTCATGCTGGGCAGTGGCTATAGACGGGCCTCTTACTTATATTATTAATTTAATATGCTTGAAATAAATAAATTGAAATAAAGTATAAAGTTAATGTGTACGGTCGGTCAGTCGGTGTCTACCTGGGCCTAGCGACTGGAGACCCTGACCAAGGCCAATACAAGATCATATATATCACTTTTCTTAATAATTTCTAAATTCCACTTCACATTCATGAAGTCAGCAGTCTAGACCATAGAACTAAATATTTAGTACCTACTATGATTAGCATTAGCAACATCATATTTAAACTTTATAATTATACATACCCAGACCAGAAAGTCTCCTATGCTACCATATATTATATATATTAGAAAATAACATTTAGGACATATTAATGCTAAGTGTATATAATAGACAAAAAAAATTATAACCATAATAAAATATCGCACACTGGGCTAACTGAGCACGCAGAAAAGGGTACGTCCACTTTGCAACAAAAAGTATTCAATCCAGCTTTGGTGGAAAATTGTTTGGTTTTTTTTTTATTTCACAGAATCAAGTGATGAATAAACTACTTGAATGCAAAATTTCAGAAGCCTCCTATGTTGCATTTTCGATAATATATCTAGGTAATATATCTTAAAAATGCAACATGGGAGGCTTCTAGAATGTTGCAGTCTAGTACTTAATTCCTCCATTGATTCTGTGAAATAGTAAGATTTTGCCAAAGCTGGTATGGGTGAATTTTGTTTATTCAACCCACGAACCTCGCCTCGAATCCGGAACTTTGCGATGATATAACTCGATAAGCCAGAATAGAAAGTTACCTTATGCATCTGTCACCAAAGCTAGTTTAGAAGTTACCGTGTACGCTGCGAGCCTACCCGATTCCCCCACATTTTTAGTATGTTTACGGTAAAAATATCTCGAAAATCAACATAGGCTTCTGGAATTCTGCAGTCTAGTAGTTTATTCATCCCTCGATTCTGTCAAATAAAAAACATTTTGCCACCAAAGCTGGTTTGGGTCTTTTTTTATGCAGCTTGGGCGCACCCTTTGTTTATTGAACCCACAAATTTCGCCTTGAATCCGGGTGCTAGGAACATCTCTATGATACAACTCGATAAGCCAAGGTCATAGGAAGTTGGTGAAATTTGGATTGTTCATACCTTACACGTCTGTCGATTTGGTGAAATAAAGATCTTCGAGCCACCAAAGCTAGTTTAGGGCAGTGACCCAAACCCGATTCCCCCATATTTTTAGTATATTTAGGGTAATATATCTCGAAAATGCAAAATAGGAGGCTTCTGGAATTTTGCAGTCAAGCAGTTTATTCATCCCTTGATTTTGGAAATAAATAACATTCTGCCACCAAAGCTGGTTTGAATACTTTTTGATGCAATGTGGACGTAGGCCTACACACTTTTGTGCATGCTCAGTTAGCCTAGTGTGAGATATTTTACTATTTTTACGGCAATTGTTTGTTTTTTCTACTACCCCGGTATATAAACTTTGCATTAATATGTCTTAAAATTTTATTTTCTAATATAAAGGTAACAATTATTTTCGTGATAAATACGGTATATTTTTTTTTTTATTGGCGCCAGGAATATGTTTGCTAACTTCATTTCGAATTCAGGTGTTGGAACACGGGTGAGAGATTCCGCTCGATGTCAAAACTACGCTACGGACAATTATTGCCAAAACATAATACGGAAATAAGCACGTCCCAAACTGTTTAATTTTAACAAATTGCTATTTTAAGCGCATTCCCGCTAATAACCCTGTTGTTGGAAATATAACCGAGTCAGAATTAATTGTTAATAATTCATCTGTTTTATTTCAGTATCGGTATAGTTACTGCTAGGAATACTAGGATGGTCTTTTTAGCAAAAAGTGGGCTATCTTGTTTTTGCTTTGAGCAGGCAACAACTTGGGTAGAACATCAGATTATTTACAACACAATAGCCGAGAGTACTTCACAAACCAAAACATGGGTTGAGGTGCGCAGGGAAAAAGTCTCGATTTATGATGTAAGGGAGCTAACTACATTAAAGGAAGTATCAAGTCGGATAGAGTTATCCGGTCCTTGAGATGGCTGCTTCGACGCCATTTTGGCGTGAATAAGACCGAAATAATTTGGAACTTTCCCGATGTTTGCCCCGTACAGACGCAGTACAGCTTTTCAAAGTTCATTATCGACATCATATAAACTTTGTACGTGTCAGGAAGCTTCAAAGCCATTTTGGAGCTTTCGTTTAATCGTGAATGGAGTAATATGAATCTTGACTGTTTATCATGTGCTTTGGCTGAAATTAGTTATTCAGTGGCAAACCTAACAAAGAAAAATTTCAAAGCCGTCGTTACAGAAATAAACCACCTTGTAAGCCAGCACGGAGCAGACGCTGATAGGCATCTGTTCCGTTGCCTATTTTCTCATATAGAATTTGGAGGAGACGGGAAAGGCAGTGGCAAAGATTTTCATCAAACTCAGTGCTTAATTCAAGAGTGTAGCACACTAATAAATAAACCAGACTTTGTTTCAATCTTGTGTAACGCTATAGACAACCCATTACAACAACAGAAGAGCCTAAAGCCCTCGTCACACCTATTTCCTCAGCTAAGTAAAGTGCTGAAGTTAAGTAGGGTTCAAGAAGTGGCCTTTGGTTTAGCGTTATTACATTCAACCAATCAAAACATCAGTACGCAAGCTGGACAATTTGTGAAGCAGAAATTTCCTGATCTTGTTCATTCATACGTGGATGTAGATAGTGCAAGTCATCAAGAAGGCGGCCTGCAAGATACAGCCATAGAAACTCTACATTTTCTTCTAAGCCACTTATTACATGGAAAAAACCAGTTGGGTGTAGGAGTAGAACAAAAAGAAGCCTTATTGAAAGCCTTACGTAGAGATTTTCCTCGAGAACGTGTACCAGCTGTGCTTAATCTTATTCTCTACCCAGAATTAGAGGACATACCAACAAACAAACTTTTTGATACATCAGTTTTACCAAGTTCTATGATGGCCGCTTCTTTAGCAGATTTGATATTGGAATCAGGATGCGGTTGCACAGTTACAGTAGAAGAATGCCGAAATCGGTTGATGCAGTTTGGTGTGAAAGAAATAACTCCGTCATCAATTGCAAAAGTCTTAGGAATGATGGCCCGGTACCCCAATGGCTTGAATGAACAGGTGCCGACAAATCCTGGCTGGAATGACACTCAAGGTGAGACAATTTGGAACGAAGAAGTATTTGTCTTAGTAGTGAAAGATCTCGCTCCACACTTGAATTGGAAGGAAGTTGTAGCTAATTTAGACTACCCAGGTTTTATTGTCTCTAATAACAAAGGCCTTCGTCTGCTCGTCCAGGCACTATTCCGTGGATTGCAAGCCATCTTCCCTGTTGAGTATATCTACAAGTCATGGCATAATGTTGAAGGTCAGCTGTCTTTTATCAATAATGCTCTACGCTCCCCAGATGTGTTCAGTTTTGCTGATTATCCAGGTGACACAGTGCTTATTGACATACTCAAAACAACTCCTAATGAAGACGATCGTGACATTAAAACTTGGAAATCTCTTGATCTGGTAGAAACCTTGCTGAGATTGTCTGAATCTGGACATTACCAACCAATTCATGATTTGTTCAAAGTCCCCATTCAAAAATGTCCAGACATTTTGGTTTTGGCACTACTTCAAACAAAAACCTCATGGAATATTTTGAAACAAGAACTTATATCAACATTGATGCCAGTATTCTTGGGCAGCCATACCAATTCAGCCGTTGTACTGCATTATGCTTGGCACCACCAAGGCCATTCAAATAATATCAGAACCCTTATAATGCATTCAATGGCAGAATGGTACATGCGTGGAGACCAACATGATCAGATGAGATTATCAAGAATTCTAGATGTAGCCCAAGACTTGAAAGCACTTTCTATGCTCCTGAATGCCACACCATTTGCATTTGTCATAGATTTAGCATGCTTGGCATCGAGAAGAGGATACCTAAAATTAGATAAATGGCTGTCAGATAAAATCAATGAACACAAGGAACCCTTTGTTCAGGCATGCGTTAATTTCCTTAAAAGAAGATGCCCCCAACTGCTTGGAGCACCTTTAAAAGAAGATCACAATCAATTGAAAAGTCAGCAGCTGCTGCCAGAAACTGTGGCAACCATGCTTAATCATCTTAAAACTTGGTCAAGCCACGTTTCTCAAGAACTTGCTGATGCCATATCTGCCATGTACAGCAATGCAGGTTCCCTGTTTAAAGCAAGGCAAGCTCAGCCCCCACCTGGACCAACTGGTGGTCAATTTCCTAATGTCAGCCCCCTGGATGTTTTGTCTGGAATAGGTGTCCTAGGAGGACACAATCCTGCTGTATCACAGACATCAGTTTCGTCAGCTTTTCCGCAAGTTTCATCAGGATTTCAACAAACTGCTCCTCCATTGCCACCTGCCAACACAGCTACACCAGGTTCTCCCTCTAAAGCTTTCCCTGGACTTTCTCAAAGCACACCTGGTTTTAACACTATCCATAATTTGTCATCTCAGTTTCAGACCTCTTCAACTGGTCCTCCAGGTGATATGTCAGGAATCTTCCCAGAGATGAATCAACAATTCAGCAAGGATGTAGAAGACAAGGCTAATACATACTTTCAACAGATCTACAATCAGCCACCCCATCTTACCATGACAATAGATGAAGTCTTGGACATGTTGAAAAGATTCAAAGATTCCCAAAATAAGCTGGAACGAGATGTATTTGCTTGTATGTTGAGAAACCTTTTTGAAGAATACAGATTTTTCCCCCAGTATCCTGAAAGAGAACTTCACACAACTGCTGTCTTGTTCGGAGGAATCATAGAACAAGGGATTGTCACATATTGGACCTTGGGAATAGCTTTGAGGTACATTTTGGAAGCCTTACGCAAACCCCATGGCAGTAAGATGTATTATTTTGGAATTGCTGCACTTGACAAGTTCAAATCCAGACTTAAGGATTACCCCCAGTACTGTCAGCACTTGGCTGCTATTCCACATTTCTCCCGTTTTCCACAACATCTGATTGAGTATGTGGAATATGGAGCCAGATCCAAAGAGCCACCTCATATGCCACAAGCAGTCCCAGGATCGCTTTCACAGTCTTTATCAGGTTTATCTATTCAAGGTGGCCCAATGGGCAATATGCCACCAAGATCAACTGCCACACCCCAAGAAGGATGGCCGGATGTAAGTGGTGGAACTGCTCCTAAGATGACATCAGCTCCCACAGCCCCTGCTACACCAGCAACTACTTCAGCTGAGATCAAACCCCCTGTTGGTGCTACATTCCAAAAGCCTTCAATTGCTACAGCTACTAACATTGATACATTGCTTGCTGGTCAACAGAAGGATGAAGTTGCTGTACCACCTGAAGCACTCCAAGATAAAGTCTTCTTTATTTTTAACAACCTTTCTCTGGCTAATATGAGTCAAAAAGGAGAAGAGCTGAAGGAACAGATTGGTGAAGAATACATACCATGGTGTTCCCAGTATCTCGTTATGAAAAGAGCTAGTATTGAACCAAATTTCCACACCCTGTATTCTAACTTTGTAGATGTTCTGCAAATACAGGAATTGACTGATCTCATAATCAAAGAAACCTTCAGAAATATCAAAGTTCTGTTGAGAAGTGACAAAGGAGTTGCTAACTTCTCTGATAGAACCTTATTGAAGAATTTAGGACACTGGCTTGGAATGCTTACATTAGCCAAAAGCAAACCCATCCTACAAATGGAAATAGATGTCAAGTCTCTAATCTATGAAGCTTACCAAAAAGGTGCCCAGGAGTTGCTGTATGTGGTGCCTTTTTCAGCAAAGGTATTAGAATCTTGCTCTAAAAGCAAAGTTTTTAAAGCCCCAAATCCTTGGACACTTGGTATAATGAATGTACTAGCTGAACTTCACATGGAACCTGATTTAAAACTGAATTTGAAGTTTGAAATTGAAGTGTTGTGTAAAACACTGAACATAGACATCAATGAACTAAAGCCCACCAATTATTTGAAGGATCCAATGAGGATATCAAGTATAGAGCCCCAGTTGTCAGCACCACGTCCACAAGAAACTGTCACAACCCCAACACCTCAACCATTTGCAGGTGCCTCAAATTCTTTGATGAATACACTTCTACCACCCATGATCACAACAATAATGGGTTCTGGAACAAGCACTACAACTACCATCTCAGCCACTACTCCAAGTCTGCCGCCACAACCCCAGTATAGCTTCAATGAGATCAATACCCACTCATTATCAGGGCTGGCTCAACATATCATCATAAGTGACCAGATTGCATTGTTCCATACTAATCCCCAACTCAAGCAATATGTCAGATCTGCCTTGGAAAAAGCTGTCCAAGAACTCCTTCCTCCAGTTGTTGAAAGATCCATAAAAATAGCTTTAACAACATGTGAACAGATTGCCAAAAAAGACTTTGCCCTTGATCCGGAGGAAGGCAGGATGAGATCTGCAGCTCACTCAATGGTTCGAAATATAACATCAGGTCTTGCTCTCATCACTTGCAGAGAGCCTTTGTTTATCAACATCTCTAACAACTTGAAGACTGCATTCATGGCAACATTAAGAGGAGCAAATCCTGCTCAAAAAACAGTAATTGAAGAGGCAGTCCAAGCTTTAGCCCAAGACAACACAGAACTTGCCTGTGCATTCATCCAGAAAACAGCTGTTGACCGAGCAATCCCCGAAATGGACAAGAGGCTGTCATCAGAATTTGATTTGCGTAAACATGCAAGAACAGAAGGAAGAAGATACTGTGACCCTGTTGTTTTGACTTACCAAGCAGAGAGAATGCCAGAACAAATAAGGCTTCGGGTAGGAGGTGTAACACCTCAGCAAATAGCTGTTTATGAAGAATTTGCAAGAAACATTCCTGGCTTCCTGCCAATGACTACTGACACCAATTTTCCACCAGGAGTTACTAAACCCATACCGTCATATGCCCAGGATGAAATAATGATAATCTATGAAAAGATAGTGCGAGAGATTGAGCAACATCTACAACAGATGATCAACATCCCATCTAGTAATCCTATGATAGCACAACTCAACAGTTTGATGGAAGCAATCATCCTTGCCAGACAAAATCGAGAAATGGTCACAGCTGTAGCACTGCTTCAAAAAGCAGTAGAGGGCTTACTTGATCAGTACACTTTAACAAGTATGTCTGAGCAAGAACTGTTCTTAAGATACCGGGAATGTCATCTTTTAGTTCTACGAGGGCTTCAAGACCAACGGGCTTATGGTAGTCAATGGGCAAGCAAAGAAGTTACAAGATGCCTTATCCAGTGTCGAGATGAATACAAATATAATTTAGAAGCTGTGGATCTGTTGATCAGGAGTCAGTTAGTCAACTTGCAAAATTACGACATTTATCTTGCAAATCTCTTGCAAAATGGCATGAACATCACAGCATTACAGTTTGCCATGCAACTTATTCAGAAATATTGTACTGATGATAAGAGCCCCGTTTCAGATGCAGATTTTGCCACTACTGTAGAAACATTGACCATGATTGCAGCTAGATCCAGACAACAACCTGAAGGACTTACAACCTTGATAGAAATGATTCGTCAAAAGACTCAGCAAAACAGCGAGACAAACATGGGAATGGATCGTTCCTCTGGCAGTAGCACAACTTCCATGATGCAGTCAGGCATTTCACAAGCTAGAGAGTTTGATGATCCTCCAGGACTTCACGAGAAAACAGAATATCTTTTACGAGAATGGGTTACCATGTATCACTCTCCTGCTGCTGGACGAGACAGCACCAAAGCATTCACAGCCTTTGTACAGCAAATGCATCAACAGGGAATTCTCAAAACTGACGATCTCATTACCAGGTTTTTCCGTCTTTGTACAGAAATGTGTGTGGATCTTTGCTATAGAGCTTTGAGTGAACAGACCCACAGCCCAACTTTGATCAGAGCTAAATGTTTCCACACTTTGGATGCATTCGTTAGACTCATTGCATTGCTTGTGAAGCATTCTGGAGACTCTGCCAATACAGTCACCAAAATTAACCTGTTACACAAAGTTTTAGGAATAGTAGCTGGTGTGTTGATTCAAGATCATGAAGTTCGCTGCACAGAATTCCAACAACTACCCTACCATCGTCTCTTCATCATGTTGTTCATTGAGTTGAATGCACCAGAACCCATTCTGGAAAGCATAAACTTACAAGTTCTTTTGGCATTTTGTCAAGTTTTTCATATCCTGCGTCCAGCTAAAGCTCCTGGGTTTGCTTATGCCTGGTTGGAGCTGGTGTCCCACAGAGTTTTCATAGGTAGACTACTGGCTCTCACTCCACAACAGAGAGGATGGGGAATGTATGCCCAGCTCCTGATGGATTTGTTTAGATTTCTCTCACCTTTCCTGAGAAATGCAGAACTAAGCAAACCTACGCAGTTGATTTACAAAGGAACATTAAGAGTGTTGTTGGTGCTACTTCATGATTTTCCTGAGTTCCTGTGTGATTATCACTACGCCTTTTGTGATGTTGTGCCGTCTAACTGCATCCAGATGAGGAATCTGATCTTGAGTGCATTCCCAAGAACCATGCGCCTTCCAGATCCTTTCACACCAAACCTTAAGGTTGATAGTCTACCAGACATTGCACAACAACCTCGCATATTAACAAACTTTGTCTCAATGATTCAGCCATCATCATTTAAGAAAGATTTGGACTCATATCTGAAAACAAGAGCTCCTATCAACTTTTTATCGGAGCTCAGAAGCAATCTTCAACAGTCTGTGGAACCGGGATGTCACTACAATATTCCTCTAATTAACGCTCTGGTTTTGTATGTAGGTACTCAAGCCATTCATTTCATCCATGGTAAGGGTCAATCATCCAGTATGGGAACCATAGCTCCATCATCCCACATGGACATTTTCCAAAATCTGGCTGTGAACCTTGACACCGAAGGTCGTTACCTGTTTTTGACTGCAATAGCCAATCAACTAAGATATCCAAATAGCCACACACACTACTTCAGTTGTACGATCCTGTATTTGTTCGCTCAGGCTAACAATGAGCAGATCCAGGAGCAGATAACACGTGTTTTGCTGGAGCGTCTGATTGTCAACAGACCTCATCCATGGGGTCTTCTTATTACTTTCATTGAAATGATCAAGAATCCAAATTTCAAATTTTGGAATCATGAATTTGTCCATTGTGCTCCAGAGGTAGACAAAATGTTAGAATCTGTTGCTCGATCATGTTTGCAGACCCCCAAACAACCTCCACCGGCTCGCGAACCAGAAAATGCAGAGGTTCATTAAACACTGTGTAATTGAGAAATCAAACTTTGGGTTGATTTTGTGACCTTTGACCTGTGATCTATTTTGTGTGATTTGTGATTGACTAAACCAAAGTGCTGTTTTATTTAGCATCCAAGACTTAAGCATCTAATAGTTTAATAGTATCTGATGGGAAAATAACTAAATAAGTTAATGTTTAAAAAACGGCCTAGAAACTCAAAATTTAATTGTATTTTAACATCTAATAATAATTGAGTGTCTTGTGTGAATTAAAGTTAGATTTTATTTTTATCTGAAACTGGTATATAATTTAACCTCTTCACCAGATTGGTAATAAAATTTTAGGTTTAAATGGCTATTAATGTCTCCTTATTAGTCCTTATTCAAATTAGATATTTGTTTTTCATAATTTTATGGTTTTTTTAGGAAGTTAATATTGATGTTTGTGAAATTTTATTTACTGCTAAGTGCTAGCTTTATGTCGAAGATAATTTGTCATTTATTTATTGACATTCATACATGCATGTGTATGTCATTCTTCTTTACTGCAGAATTTTTTTTTATAGCTGAGTCTATGCTATTGTAGTACACAGTTATATAATAGATTGGTTTGGCAACATTTGGTCAGCTTTCCACATAGGTGTGCTGGGTCTGTTATCTTTTTTAGGGCTTTTACCCAAATTTGGCCCAAAAAATCTGATTATTACATGAAAATAAAATTTATGTGCTGTTCTGAAATCTTCATTCTTATTTTGGAATCCTAGTTTACATATTACTATTATTTGAAAGAAATCTTGTTATATTTTTAGGGTTTCGTATCCCCGGTTGTACGTGGCAAGGAGTAGGGTCGCCTGTCCAGCCTCGTGGGTTTTCTCCGGGTCCTCCGGTTTCCTCCCACTGCTAAAGACCCCTACGCGCAAGCGAATTATTGAAATAAAATTAAACCGTATGTTAGTCCCGAAATGACCTAGTTTGTGTCGAGTGGACGTTAAACCCCTTCTCTCTCTCTCTCTCGTTATATTTTTAGCCTAAAGATCTACGATTTTAGGTCACAGCCAATGAAAAATGCAGTATTCTAAATTATTTAAGTTTTAATGAAAGAGGATAGCCTTGATTACTCCTGTGTAAAATTGTCTCTAATTGTTAACGGTCATGCACAGTTTTGCTTATGTTTTACGGTTGGCCGAGAAGAAGTTTGACTTCTGTCTGAAGTATGCAGAATGCATTGTTAACTGTTTGCTCAAAAAAATTTCTCAGAATTCTTGGTGTGATATGAATGCGAATAGATAATTGCAAGCAATGCCATTTTGTCCTCACTAATATTCATTGTCGTCGAAACTGAGGAAAACTAGGCTGGAGTTATCGAGACAGGAGTGCGACGCTGACCACTGTTGTCTAATGGCGACTTTAGTTGTAAAAACTTCCAATCAGCTAATTTAATAAGGCCTATCATTTACATATTTATATTCTACTTAACTTAAATCACTATGTTCATTCTTATTGTGTCATTTATCAAAGATTCAAATTTTTTTTAGTCTACATTTAGATGTTCATCAAATACAGTTGAAAGAATTATGTTCAATTATGCCTTTGCAGTCACAATTGTATTTGCTTTTATTCTTTAATGGTAAATATTTCATCAATTTAATCTTTATTGAGCATTTTGAAGTTATAATTGTTAAGTTGTTATTTTTGGAAAATTTATATCATCTATGCTTAGAATGGTTATGTATGTGTTATGCTGGATGTCATTGGCTAGTTTGAAAAGCCATTAAATTGTCCCTATCATAAGATCTTAAGAGATTTGTTAGAATAAGCTACAAATATTTGTTATGTTGGTGATTGGTTAATTTGAACAGAATTTCAACCAATCTGATTGTCTCTATTATCATATATGTATATAAACATGCTTCATTTTCCCCATTGATATTTGCTATATGTGTGAATATGTAAATATTAAGATACTAGTGGAAATAATAAAGCCGGGTGCACACTAAATTTTTGTCTGACCTCTTAGATTTTAATAGGGTTTGAAAAACTGTTTTGATGGACGGGACTAGAAATTAAAATCTGTAGTATTCCATTGCTTTGTAAATGTGGGATTACAAAAATGATGGAAGGCACCCAACTAAGTTTGACAGAAATGAAAATGTCCAGTGTGCACTCGGTTTCATGGGTATTTTTGTGATTACAAGTGTAGATATTATCCTGTGTATTAAATATGTTGAACTGTACCAGTGGGTACATGCATCGTAATATTTTTTCCTGCTATCATTTATATATTATACTATAATTGTTATTACTTTATATTATAATGTAAACACAACCCTGTGTGGTTTGACGAAAACAAAAAACAAACCTTTAACAAGAATATAGTTTATAGGTCAATTATAGTCGAGTTTGATTTTTTTTTTTTGTCTCGCTAATCAGGCCCCGAGTTCACAAAACATTCTCAGACTTAAGTTAAGAATTTACTCAAAATTATTCACCTTATTTTAACTAAAATATAGCCCTTTATAGAACTTTTGTTTTAATATATCAAATACATCAGTAAGAAACTATGTGCAAAGTATTGTGTTTCTGGATCAAAGATATCCCTCATAAACAGTGATTGAAGGTTGAGTAAATTCTTAACTTAAGTCTGAGAATGCTTTGTAAACTCAAGGCCAGGTTTCCTGGTGTTGGCCAAGAAAGTTCCCAAGGATTTGCGGCGTGGTTTCCCCTTGGTGCAGGCAAGACGAGACTGACAAGGAACTGTGTCCAGTCAGTTGGATGGGACGAAAAACAGTGGTCATGTGTACATGTTGGCATGAACTTACAAGATTCGGAGACAGTTAGATATCCGATGTGTGTTTATAACTGCATAATGCATAATGACTTTATATCCCACTTGAGATCTATGGGCATAAAAAGCAATTGAAAATCGATATATAAAAAAAATGAGTGGTGTGGCAATAGCTACAAATGTCGTACCGTTAAACTGCGTTTAAAGCTACAATTGATACAGTCTAATACGCAAGTACAAATAGGTTCAAACGCACAATTGTCAACACGTCATAACAGTTTGTATTGACATAGGTAATTCTATAACAAATAGAGAAGACTGGACCACTAAAATAGTTATTGAGCAGTTTTTATACGCCCACATTTTCGTCCGGACGTCCACAAATTGTTTGTGGACACTCTACAGGTCACAAATCTTATCCGATTTTGACGAAACTTGAAATATAGCTTTATCTCCAAAAGTTCTATGCTGCTTTCGATATTGGCATGTATCGGATCGAAACTTCATGGATTATGGCCCCTGTTTGTACGAAAAATCACGTTTTTAGATTGTGGACCCAATAGAGGTCACAATTTTTATCCGATTTTGTTGAAGCTTGAAATGTAAGTTTATAACCCAAAAATCTCGATTCCTTTCGATATTCGCGCATATCGGACCGTAACTTCCTGAATTATAATAATAATAATAATAATAATAATGTATATTTGTAAAGCGCCAATCCATCCACAAATGCATGCTCTAGGCGCCTGATTGTACGAAAAATCGCGTTTTTAGCTTGTGGACCCTATATAGAGATCATAATTTTTATCCGATTTAAAAAAACGTATTATTATATCACCGTTACACCCTAAGGGCGACTGAGTTCGAATTTCGTGAAAATCGGCCCAAAATTGACAGACAAAATGGCCGCCGTTCGTTCTCAAATAACGTAGAAATATGGTATATCACGGTTTTGGACCCTATAGAGGTCACAATTTTTATCCGATTTTGTTGAAACTTGAAATGTAAGTTTATAACCCAAAGATCTTGGATCCTTTCGATATTCGCGCATATCGGACCATAACTTCCTGAATTATGGCCCCTGATTGTACGAAAAATCGCGTTTTTAGCTTGTGGACCCTATAGAGGTCATAATTTTTATCCGATTTAAAAAACCGTATTATTATATCACCGTTACACCCTAAGGGCAGCTGAGTTTGAATTTCGTGAAAATCGGCCCATAATTGACAGACAAAATGGCCGCCGTTCGTTCTCAAATAGCGTAAAAATATGGTATATCAAGGTTATACAGGTCACAATTTTTATCCGATTTTGTTGAAACTTATAATGTAAGTTTATAACCCAAAGATCTTGGTTCCTGTCGATATTCGTACATATCGGACCATAACTTCCTGAATTATAGCCCCTGATTATACGAAAAATCGCGTTTTTAGCTTGTGGACCCTATAGAGGTCATAATTTTTATCCGATTAAAAAAAAACGTATTATTATATCACCGTTACACCCTATAAGGACGGCCGAGTTCGAATTTCGGGAAAATCAGCCCAAAACTGACAGACAAAATGGCCGCCGTTCGTTCTCAAATAGCGTAAAAATATGGTATATCAAGGTTTTGGACCCTATAGAGGTCACAATTTTAATCCGATTTTGTTGAAACTTGAAATGTAAGTTTATAACCCAAAGATCTTGGTTCCTTTCGATATATGCGCATATCGAATTGAAATTTCCTGAATTATGGCCCTTGATTTTAGGTAAAATCACTCTCTTTTTAGCTTGTTCTCTATCCATCTCTCGAAAATGTGGGCGTATCCTGCCTGGCAGCCGCTGGTTCTTTGTGGTAATGCGTTCTACATTTTCAAAGCGACATTTCTTTCCATGTAAGCCGCCATGACATCAGCCAGATGAAATCTCGCCAAATTTCGCGTAACAGTTTGGTTGCATCAAATCATATTATTATGCGGTAAGACTTTACCTTTATTTTAATGGGAATTGGTTTATTATATGTTAAGCTATGTGCAGTACAGTTTGGGGTCAGTTTGTTTGTAAATTAAGGAGGCTATAGGTCAGTAAACTTTTTGTAGTAATTTGACTAAAAAAAAACTTGCTGGAGTAAGGCAGAAGACACCAATAGTGGAACCATTTCTAGTGTGGCAAGTGACACGATTCCCATGGGGTAATAATAGCCTACTAATTCAATTCATTTGATAGTGTAGGCCACCTAAAGGTGCCCGAGGGATCGATATAACACACATGTACATTATATTCTAAAAACAGACCGGCGAGAATGGTATTAAAAGGATCTTTCAATCTGGGCGACCTTCGTATGCAAACTATGTTCGCGACTACAGTCTGAACCAGCACCCGAACGCAAAGCGCCCATGTCAGTTCACTCGGCAAACCTCGGCTGATTCCGTTACTCTACATATACATGTAGATGTGGGGTACTGGAATCTCCTGAGGGTTGCCGAGTGCGGGTCAAGTAAGCAAAACGCAAAGGCTCCCCTTCAAGAGACAAAGTTAAGAATTAGCCAGAAGGTACTCTAAATGAGAGATGTCAAAATTATACTAAATGCATATTAATTAACAACAAATTACAATTATATTATTAATGAAGACCTGACAGGTGTTTTTATACATGTAGGTTCAGGAGTTTTATTGTGAATCAAACTTCCAAGTATAAGTTCAATAATAATAAACATGAGAGAATGAACTGTTTCAAAGGCTGAATAGTAATAATACGGTCAAACATGGATGTTATACATATTTGAAATCACCGAAACATACTACAGATTTTGATAATACAACTAAATATAAATGAATCAGAAATATATACATTATTTACATAAATCATTCAGTAAATGGACATGAATATGGTTATCTACCCTTATAACGATTGGTTCGTGGACTTCAGCTACAACCAAGGCCAGGGCAGATAATTTGAAATCGTGGAAACCCTATGGATTAAACCAGGGTATAGTGAAGTAGAATGGAATGAGTACACTGGGAATACCGAGGATGAGCCATGACCTGCTGCCAGAGTGCCTTATGAGCTGCGGGGCTTCTTTCTAGTGTGGGACCCAATTTTGGGAAATTAGTCAAATGTGACAAAAACGGGCCCTGTCTGTAGTTATGCCCTCTTTTCCTAAATATTTTTAACAATATTTTTTCAAATCATGCGTGAAGTATTGGGTTCATTAGAGGACAACCCCCTAAGGAAATCAGTGTTCCGCGACCTTTCCTTCCAGGGTTACCCCCACCCCTAGATAACAAACCTTATCTCTCAACCCTCCGTGTTTCGAGATAAGAGATGATGCTATTACCTTCAACGTAGCACATGCGGAAGCGATTCGCACCCGGCATTTGTAAACAAAATTGACAATATTTTAAATCAAAACAACGATTGATTATTGTTATTTATAATATTTCTGCCACACCCAACTACAATTAAGCATATAATCCTACCTGAAACGGGTACAAATCCCCTCTTGTTAAATCAAAGCGACAGTAGATTGCTTTTTACGACATTTTAAATTTACGTCTGTAACACATAAAGGCGGGGCCTCGTGTGCAATAGCCAATCAAAGTACTAATCTGATCAGAGTTGCGCAGTAGTAATACGTCGTAATTATGAACGTCCGAATCAATTTTGATAAAAACAACGCTTGATTTACTTTATTGTCAATATTTGCTGATAAATGAATGTTGTTTCAGTAGATTGGACTGCGTATGTGTAATAAGTACTAATAGTATAAAATTAACTTATTTTTAAGATGGCACATACATTAATAAAGAAATTGAGTTTGCCACTTAGAACTAAAGGCTTCCAATCGTAGCTAAAAACAAGCACATCAATATATCTCAGCGTTTTCAGTTACGTTCCCGTAGCTACCCCACCCCCACCCCGCCTTTCCCTTTGTGAATGCAGTAGAAGCCACAGTTTTTATACACCCACATTGAAATGCTGTATATTGTCGTCGCCCCCGCCCGTAAGGCGTCCTCAGTTGTTTGCTAAAGTTAATCTCCGATTGACTTGAAATTCATACACAGTGTTTAAGTACATCAGACGATTGTTATCCAATTGTATGTAACCTTCTGTAACAGGTTGATTGTACAATGAGTGTCCTCATTGAAACGTTGCAGTCAATAAAAAAAATAAAGTGATTGACTTTAAATTTATACACAGTGTTTAAGATCATGAAACGAAGAAGCCGATACTGTCAGACTTATAGTCCTTGACCTACAAACTAAAGATATCAACCGAATGACTTTAAATTTATACATACTATTTATGTTCCAGAGACCAAGAATCTTATTGATTTTTTTTAAAGAATTTCTGATAATTATTACTGGAGTTATGAGCCTTGAGGGCTTTGAAAAATGTCGTTGATGCTCTCTAGACCAAAACCATCACACGATTGAGGTCACGAGATAACAAAATTATTGATTTTCAACGATTCCCGATAACTTGGAACAGCTAAATTCATGATATTTAATGTTTTGTATACTAAACGTTAGCATGTGGCGGAACGAGAAGCCAAACAAACTCTAATGATTTCTAATTATTACTTTATCAGATTTTAGTGACACACCTTGTTGTCTACTCGGA